CCCCAAAACCCCAAAACCCCAAAACCCCAAATATGAAGTTTTGTCCCTAAAAATAAAAGTTTTATCAAATGGATTCTCCGGACGTATGGCTCATAATATTCCATGAATGCCATCTTTGTCTGAAGATACTGAACTATTTTCACCTTATTAAGGAGTCTAGCACTCCTAGTTGAGAAGGTTAGTCAGGCGACTAAAATTGGTATAAAAACTTATTGAATAATAACAATAGTTCCTTCATCCCAACAGATTTTGTAATAAAAACTCCCGGCAAATTCGTTATGAGTTATGATAAGTGCATAATCTGGGGAAATTCCAGGAATCTTGAAGGCATGAATAGGAGTCAAATTTGTTTTAAATTAGCTTAATTTTAAGGAAACATGGCTTACTACCTACTAGGTACATGCTGAAGCTCAGAGAGCTCATCTAGAAATATTTTGTAGACATATTGATTAAGATAGAACTTATTATAGGACGTGCTCGGCTTGAAAAGATTTTGCTAAAACTTTAGACTATGATAAGGTCGCTTAGCTTCAAAATAAAAATTAGTAGGCTCAACTTAAAGTATTAGTTAGCTTAAATTTTATGGAATTTTAAAAGACTGAACGAGCCCATCCAGGGAGGTACTCTGGCTTTATGTCCGCAACCTTCTGATGTACTTAAGGTAAGAAACTTATACAAAAATTATGACAATCTTTTGGTGACGGAAAATCTATCTCTCACCGAAGGCATTGACGAGAACATCATGGCCTTCAGTGGAGATACACAGACGCCCATTTTGGACTTCTCTCCTTGCTTCTTTTTGGGAAACTTGACTATTCCCTTCTTCTTAGTCTTAGATTTCTTCAGAAACTTCTTAAGACTAGTTGAGGCATAACTCTCTGTCTTCAGCTTTATTGTAGAGCTGAAAGAGTCTACTCCTTTGTTCCTGGTCTTAGAATTTTCCTAAAAGCATTAGATAAGAGTCCAACTTACCATTTTCATTAGTTTCGCTGTAATCGAGTCGTTATGAGCCAAGATGTCGCTTGCCTTAAGTGTCTGGCCCTTGCTCAATACCCGCAAGGTACTGTTATACTTCTTATTCGGATTCTTCTTCGTTTTGCTACTTTTCAGCAGGAATATAGGCTGCATCTTCTTCCTTGTCTTATCAATCACCAGCACTTTACTTCTAGAATTGGGGAATTAGGCATATTTTTATTTAAGACCAAAGACTTACTTGTAATTGCTCAAGTAGGTCTTACTTGTTTTCTGAGGCTCATTCTGGGATGACTCAAGGGAACTTCGCAGTGAATGAGAGTTATGGTACCTAAATTAAGACCCTAACTCTTACTTCTTATTAACCTTGCGAGTTTCCTTTCTGAAATAATTATTCAGAGGCGAATTCTTAGCATTCAGTAATTTCTAAAATCTTAATATCGGTGGCTTACCTTAGTCAAATTCTGTTTTATGCTTGGCTTGTCAGACTGTCGTCTCTCAAAGAATGTCCTAGGTGCCTTAGTGCTAAAATATAGATTGGTTGAGCCTACTCGAATATTCTGGTGCTTTGAGCGATCTGCATAGAACTATTCGTTCCAGCAGTGTTTATATTTTCAAGAGACCCTCGAAGTTTAGACTTATTCTTGCGTAAAGGAGTAGATCGCTCAACCTTCCTCAATGAAGGCTTGCTCTTACGATTCTTAGAAGCATTCGCAAGCTTCTGAGCATAGTTATAACTCTTTAGCTGGGTAATCTTTGTTGTCTTGTTGAATGAATTTGTAGGAATAGAGCTATTTAGCATAATCTGATTTCGAGAAGATGATACTTTCTCTTCTATAACGTTAGAAATTTAAGTTACTCTCCTCCTCAATTTTGAAATTTCCGTAAAACAAATTATTCAGCAACTTTTTGTTCTCATCTTTTATCAAAAACTCAGGGTCGATCATGACCTTAGCTCCTTCAGGGTCGTCGATTGGAGTGCAGTTATTTTGATACTCTAGCAGTCATGATCTCTTCTTCGCTATTTTCGCCTTCAGCTTCCTTAGAATCTGAAGGTGGGCGTTTTTCCCACATCGAGAACTCATTGACATCCTTATTCTCATGAGTGGTAATTATAGAGGTATCAAGGTTCATCTCCTCCGAACAAATACTTTGGCTGCCACTACCATATTCGTCATCATTAAAATATTCAAAATAGGCTGGAGGGAAAGAAGTGAGGTTCTGCTTCTTAAGAACTCAAGAGTGCTGACCTTTAGCCTGCTTAGACTCCTCAGTTTTAGCCTCTTCCTTTGGCTGGATCTTTCCAGTACTCATGACATGATTTGACTCCTACTTTGTTTATGCATAAAATATACCTTCTCAGTGGAAATATCTAATTTGCTTGAGCCCTGGTCCTTGAACTACGGAGGTCAAATGAGTAACGTACTTTAGTAAACTCGAATTCTGTTTCAGTGGAATTTTTCACTAATTCTAAGCAATTATTTCAGTAATATTACTAATTTTCGCACTTGTATTGCAAGTGTTAGAGCATGGTTTATTCTCTCGCTCCGACTCAGACCTATATAATGTCAGGGCCATCTTATGAGTGCGCTAGGTCATATCAGAGATGTGGACCAAGAGCTGCTTTATGGGACTTTTAGCCCAAAATTACCTCCTTTTGGCAGCCTTTTCAATCGTTGTCTTGGTCTTACTTATAACAGGTCGTGAGGAAAGAACAGTTGCATATTGAGACATAATTATGAAGATTATAAATATTATAGGGCCAACTTAGGATTATTTATGGGGTTTTGGGGTTTTGGGGTTTTGGGGTTTTGGGGTTTTGGGG